TTTTTCAAACTTGTCAAAATAAGTTTTATTGTTTATGATAAACAAACAATGAGAATTGCATTCAAAGGCAGTCAAACCGAAATATTTATTTCTGCAACGTAACCCGTGACACCGAAAAAGTTGCTCTACTTTCATTTTCAAAACACCCCGACTATCTCTCCCCCTACGAGAAAGTTTTAATTTTCCAAACACGTTTTGGTCAAATGAAAATAGCAGCCATCTCTGTGCTTGTTCTTGTCGCTTATTTTATGCCCTAGAAAAAGCAGACTGCAAGGGTGTATTATTTAATATATGCCAATAGTAATAGTCTTATTAGTCTCTTATAATATGTTAATATAGTATGGGCCGAAATGCAATTATGTTTTATATATCATCATTTAATATCATTTTTGGAAGTGATTTTTCTTGTTGCCATAGTATTTAACAGTCGAATCCAAAAACCTTTTGTATTACATTCACTTGTTTTCTATACAAGTAGTTTATGTGGAAGAGAGCGTGAGATGGCTGGGTGGGGAAAAAAGTTCCAAGTGGACTGCCCAGTTTCAGTTTCGGGGGTATCGAATTCGCAGGACATCAGCCAGGCTCACTCGTCCGAATTGTCTGTGCAAACATATGGAATGGAATTGGAGAATCGGATACGTGGAATTGCGACCAGCGCCCGCACCTAAACATCCCCTTACCAAAATGAGCGCACGACTGCACCTCCCATCTTTCGCCGGTTTTTTTAGGTGGCCATCCCAACGGATGGTTAAAGTGTCCAAAACGATTTAGTGGATGCTCTCTGCTTCTGAGGTTATGTGTTTCCTGCGTGAAGTACTCACAGGGAATAATGAAGTGTCTCTGCCAGCGATTGCTCTTGTTTCAGGGTGAAAGTGTCGCCGAAAAGGTCAGCAAAGTGATTGGATATACAATGTAGCACATTTTAGTCCAGTAAACTGGTTGATTAAATTTCACAAACTAGCTACTCTATTATCAAAAGCTATTTTTGTTAATTATGCTTAACTAAACTTAAAAGAGAATGTTACCACAAGCCCGTAAAACAAAAGTGGACCAAGAAGATGTTTTAAATTGGATGACCAAGCCATATCAATTGTTTAATTTTATAATTTAGGTAATGAGTCATTTAATTTATTTTGTATTTTAAAAATTATATCTTTTGTAAATATTAACTCCATTAAACCTGACCAATAGCATTTGATTAGTTCTCAATCCAATATCTACCGCAATATAATATTTGCCCGCCCAATGGCAACTGAAAAATCTAGCAATTTGCATTGCGCTGAGCAACAGCGACGACCGCTTTCAATAACAAACACGCCCACGCCCACGCCCGCGCCCGGGTAAACATTTAGGGGGAGAACGCCCAAAGTTCCGGCCCTTCCTCCTGTGGCAGGTGTATTTGTGGATGTGTGCGCCGATGTGTACAGAACGCAATATGCTCAACATGTTGGCAAACTTTCACAACTGTTAGTGTAAATATTGCATGCAACAAAACGATGCCTTAAAATAACAAAGCACCTACGCCAATAGAGCGAAGGACGCGAGGTAACAAGGATGGGAAGTGGGTGTTGAGAGGTGCTGAGCACCACAGGTTGCTCTGTGGGCTTAAAATTTGTATTAACAGCAATTGACCTTACCGCTTTTGGTATTTTTGAGAGCAATCTATTACTTCAATTTCCAATTTAAAGTTTACATTTAAATACAATTGTTATTCGTGTCAAATAATATTCTTAAACTTGAACTTCTTTGATTGTAAAATTGATCGGCTTCCGTACGAGATAGAAAGTAGTGGAACAACACAATTTTCGATACATTTTTTGCTAACCTGGTCGGAACGTATTCCTGTTTCATTGTCGGATTTTCATTTGGCCACATGACGTCCTTACTAATCACATAGCGTGGTCATGTCCAGAGGCGCAGGGTAAAGCAATAACTGGGGATACAGCAGTCGTAATCGGTTCTTTGTAGCAATATCAATATCATTTAAACTCAAATGTGTGGAAAAACGGAAAGTTCAGAGTTCGAATACACTGGGATGAACAAGGAAAAGTTTAATAATTTAATAATTAGTATAGCTATATGTACTGCCGTCCATAATAATAATATATAAAACCTAAAGATTTGGGCGATATACCTTTAAAACAATAGTAACTTAACTTGTCCTTGACAATGTATTTATTAAAATTCAACTGTGAATTCAAATCCATGAGTTCGACTTCAGCAGTAGGATGGCTTAAACAAGACAAATATTTTCAAGTGCAATAAGCACGAAGACAGCGGAGCGAACTTCAGGCTGGACTTCAATTGGCAACGGTTTTTTCCTTTGCAATTTTCTTTCATGATTTTTGTTTTGCATTTTTTCCGATGCAAAATGCTTTCAAAGTCGAGGATGGTACGGGAAATGGAATTGGTATGGCACGGCATATTAGTAAAAGAACCGAGTTGGCAAAAACTGCGTGCCAGTGTGTGTTGGAAAATTGAAAATGCTTTTTAACAGAACGAAATCGGAACGAACGGCTTCGTCTGCTTGTAAGCCCGGAGACCCAGGGTCCAGAACTAGTTTCTGCTCTGGGTCCAATATCATAGCCCCGCCCGTAACCCCGTGACCCCCGCACAATTCAGATTTGATGCATTTACATTTGCACCTGTGCCAGAAACACACACAGCCAGCCGGCTTGTAAGCTTAAGTGCCATTACATGCAATCGAGTCGAGTTTGAGTTGAGTTTTCTCCGCCCCACTCCGTTTTTGCTCACTCTTTCAATCGGTTTCCTTCTGCTCTGCTCCAATCAGGGATACCAACTGTAGCTTTGGCTAACTTTAAGTTATTTGAAAAGTTTGTGAAGCTGTAGGCTATACTAGTTCAATAATCGCTTAATGGCAAGAGTTGTCTTTTTTTAAAGTTTTAACCAACCTTATGTGAGAAATAATCTAAAGTATTAATGTTAAAAAAATGACTACCCAAAAAGTCAAGCTGACAAACTGAATAAATCCCGAACTTGACCCTCGAAAAAGGCTAGATTTACTGGCAACACTGCCCACGAAAAGCGTTTCGGGTATTTGGCGTTTGGTCCATAAGAGCATAATGCATATTTAAGCATATTTTGTAGTCTACTTTTACGGGCAGTTGGCAAACATCGCTCGTCCCAGCACTCCGACTCCTGGCGTAAAGTGCACTTCATCAGACAATTTGTTGGGCGGTTGGTCTGGGTGCCCTTTTTGCTGGCTTTTTTTGGAATTTGTATGGCTTGTAAGTGGCTAGATTATGTGCTGGCAAAGTTGTGACAGCTTCGAGTGACTGCAGGTAAATATTATGAGCTGTGGGGAGCAGCTGTGGAGGCACTATTTGCCAGAGGAATGGCAGTGAAATGAAAAACATTTTTAACAATGTTTTAATCTAAAACGTAGCTAAGTGAACAGTACAAAATATGATTAACAAGTCGGAAATGATTGAAAAAAATGGAAAATCAAGTTGAAGGGTTCTTACCTTATTTTTTTATCGTAGACATAGTGCTCGAATTCTGTACACACTTTAAACACAATTGTTTTGGAAGCATGTCCTATGTAAAAAATTGTATATTTTCCTTTGTTATATTTTTTGACCAACGGTAACTAAATAACTATAAATATATATAAATATTCCTTTAAGATAGCTTTACTCTTTTGATTATCTATTCATAGGTAAAATCGTAGTTCTCTTGATCACAGGAAAATTGCAGCACCTTTTTGTCACTAAGTAGCACATACATATGTATTCCCTGGCCAAAATCAGGTCACAATAGGACTAGGTGGTGGTGGAACCCCATGTTACCTGTAAAATGACTGAATAAACACAATTTCCTCCTGTTTTGCCGCTCCGTTCGTATGTCAACAATTCAATTCATCAAGCGAAAGTTTCACCTGAAAGGGGAGAGGTATTCACATACAAGGGAGCGCAGATAGAGAATCGTTTCGTTACTTTCCTTTCTCTATTTTCTTTAACTAAAACCCCCTTGAGAGTTTTTCTTTATTTGATCATCTTAGCTGCCACTTGCAGCGAGCACAGACAGACAAACACTCGGCAGCAGGACGAAGGACGACGGGCGAAGGACGAAGGAAGTCGACCTCCTGACATCCTTGACTTGCTGCCTTCCATAGACTTTTACTTTTGGCTTCGGCAAACATGTGGAGGTTCCATGAGGGCGTGTGCGGGCGTCTGAGGCACAAAAAGTTTGCCAACTTATATTGAAAAATGTTGTTAACACGCAAAAGTTTTTTGCAACGTTTACTCAGCCCCAAGAACAACAATGCCCCACAACAGCAACATGGAGCAAAACAAAATAAAGCTAAACAAGTGGAATTCAATAACTGGACACAGAGTGCAAACAAAATATCCAAAAAGCAGCTCAGCCCGTGTTAAAGTGCTCGGAAAGGTTCCCCGAACAGGAGATGAGCCATGTTGGGGCCTGATTTGAATAGAATTAGAATGTTCTTCCTACCTGAGACGTGTGCAAACGAGTGGAGCCGGATGGGTAAAAGTGGGTTCTCGGTAAATATTGACCCGAGGTTAAGAGCAGCGGCCACTTGAACGTAGCAACTTCTGAAGATCTGGCCAACTCATTGCGAACTGGGCTAAGCCCAATTTTGTGTCTGCCCGCTAATTCAATTTGGGAAAAGTTTTTGGAAAGCATTCGAGCTGCTTTTTTCATGTTAATTTTCTTTACCGACATTCATTCAAAATATATATTTGCTTTATTTGTATAAGTTTTTGATTAGCAGACTGCGGAAAAGTTGCAATCTAAATTAAAGAAAACACACTTTATTGTGGCTTGTTTAAATGGTCAAGTTGAACATTTATACTTTATACTTTATACGAAAATTATAAATAAATTGGTCTGAATAAATTTTTATTTTAAAATTTATTTAAGCTCACGTTATACAAATTTAATCTTAAGCTAAAAAAAAATGTATTTAATATTACAAGACTTAAATAATGATTATTAAAACATATTTAGGGTACAATTTGAAAAAGGTGTTTTATTGATAATAATTTTTGCATAAGTCTTTGGTCACATTAACAATAAACACCCGTATGACTGTATTGAAGAAATTGTTGCCCTCGAGTATGTAGTGACCACTGTCTTCCGGCTGGGCATTGAACACCTTCAGCGTTATGCTCGACTCAGTGACCAGGACCTCGAATTTGTTGGTCTTCTGTTTAATCTTTCCACTCGGCGCAAACCACTTAAATTCGGGCACCGGATAGCCCACAAAGTTGACCAATATCTTGATCGTGCCGTTCACAGACTCCCGTACAAAATAGGTGTTCGTAGGGACGCTCACGTTGAGGTAGCTTTTTTTATCTGTACGGTAAGGAAAATAGTAAATATTAGTGTGCTATGTGTTAGCCTATTAAATCTTATGTTATTTCCTATCATTTAAGACAAGAAAGACATGAAAGTTTGGCGTTATTAGTTACGATTGGGAAGTTTTTTTGTATAGTTCATAGTTGTGGTAATTATGACTTACCCTTCTTGTAGGAAATGTCAAAGATATGATCATTGCAGGCTATACCACCGGATACGAATTTAATGACACGAAAGGTGAATCCTCGCCTCGGGTGGTACCTCATGTTCTCGAAAAACTTGGGGTTGCCTTCTATTTGACCCTTTGAACTGATATTCCAGGTCTGCCCTTAATAAAAAACAATTGTTAGATTCAATGTTTGGCCAAAAGAATGCATATTTGAAAAAAAAAAATGTAAAATATTAAGATAACAACTACTTACAGAGTCCAGTGACTTCAGCACCAACTCTGTGTCTGGCGTTGAAGGCTTGCAAGGAATGACTAGGTCGGTGTACGGTTTAGCTATTAAAATAGTATCGGAGCCGACCACCTTGCTATCCGGATCGTTTACGTAAACGTAAATGGATGAGGTCTGCGCCTGGTCCACTAGCTCAACCATCGACTGTTCTGAGTCTTTCGACTCTTCAGTGAGATTTCTCAGTTTCGAATCTTTGATGCAATAGTAGGCTGCTACATGATCAGTACTGATATCGATCAGTTGAAGACTGTTGCCGTAAATTGTATTTCTATCCTGTGTTTTGTTGTACGTGTTTGACGTAGTCAATTGTCCTAAATCGTATTCAGTCCACCAAATCACCGGCTCATCGGACTCGCATTCCAGCGTGAAATTCGTCTTGATTTCAAGAATTATAGAGCTATTGCAGGGCGTGATCCGGGGTGCTCCGTTTTGGCCGTCGCAATTTGCGGGAGTGTTATCGGACTCTGGCTCGAACCGGGATCGGAAAACTTCTAATGTGAAGAGAAAATATTGTTAGTAACAACGCAATGTTCTTATAAAATAGTAAAAATAATTCTTGGTTAAAAAATAGTTAACCATAAGAAGAACTTTTGTTTCTCTTTTTTTTCTTTGATTTTTTCGAAATTAATTTTGACTGATGAAAATATTTCATATTTTTGTTATTATTTTGGTTTATTTCTTTGCAAATGAAACAATGTATTAGTTGATTCTCTTTAATCTAAACAGGAAACGATCAAATTTGAGAACTGATAACGACGAATTTTTGGTTGTCAACAGACAATGGGTTGCCAAAATATAATAATCTAGTATCAGTGTGTCAGAGAAGTAATATTTTAAATGATTTTGGGCGTTCCATTTGTTTGCTTTGTTTTTTAATCTTTAGTGTGGCTTCTATCAGCTCAATTTATGTTCGGCAATGTCTGGGTTACTTACCTTCACTACTTAAAACGATCCCAATGTAAAAAAGAAGTGGGAGCAGAGACTTCGTTAAAAGCATTGCAAAGTTGCTCTCCTTTTTTCTAATTTTTGTAGATAAAAATTGTAAAACTGAATACCCTCCGATTACGCTTTAAGACAAAAGAAATTGTTAATTTCGGTTGGAATGGGTTTAAATACAGTTTTTAGAACTTCGAGATAGTTAAGTGCGATTACACTTACTAGACCTAGAACGTTTAAGAACTGCTGCTTGGAATCAAGAGTTCGGCTCCCGTCTCGTTCCGAGTTGAACTGATTATGGTACGGATGTTCGAACTTGACAGTCGGTCTATCTCAGATGTTTTTAGTTAGAGTTGCTTTCTGATTAAAATAACGCGCGAAAATTGAGTTGTATTTGAAATCTCTTAATTTTAATTGAATATTTATTGTTAATGTTTACTGTGCTTAGCTCACTATTTAGTCTTGCTAAACTGAAAAAAAACATTACAAAATGAAAACAAAATGGATACAAAATGTTAAATAATCGTATATAGTGTTTTAACATTAATTTAAGTTACTTGTCCTCAAACTTTTTTTTACTTATTTATTTATACAATTGTTTAGTTGTTAGAAGGGTTTCATAGGCATCAACTTTTAAAAAGCCAAGTATAAGGCAAAAGCCGCTGTAACCAATAAAATATCCTATTACGGCTATAAGATATTTATATACATTGTGTAAAAATCGTGCCAGCACTTGCTTTCCCTCTTGCGCTTGTAAAGTTCTCTATGATTTGTTCTTGCTTTCTTCGTGTAGAAGCTAATCATGATTTGCAATTTAATTTGTTTGCTCGCGTGCGTGGCGGAAATAAATTTATGTCACCTACACGTCCACGCCGCCTTACAAAAGCTTTGCTCTTTATATGGGTGCTGTTTTACTTAGCTTATGGGACACCATGAGTTTTTGTATGTCTTTTTTCCAGAGTGTGAGATATTGGTATTAACGTGTGTACTTGGCGCGGTTTTGCACACATTTTAATTTTATAATTATATGCATGTTATATCACGTATACGCCTACGAACAAGCACGACGAACCGCTCGTGATGCGCCATAAATAAGTTGATTATTTATACGTTTTTAGATCAAAGTGCCATCCTTTCAAAATATCAATTAAGAAAGGCACCCGTCATAATTTCTTTTTGGGGTAAAATGTATCAGGAACTTTAACATCTATTAAAAATGTATACTTTATTTTAATATTTTATGTTACGGTCAAGGGTATAAGAAAAAAAGATTTTAAACTGCGCATTATGTTTTATCAAATAAATAAAAATTAATTCCTAATGGTAACTTGAGGTTTCAGTAACACCTAAGTCCGAAAATGTAACCGTACCGACAAAGTAAACAAACAGTGAAACAAATCAGAGATAGATGGAAATCCATATCTGATAGTGGACGGCACGGGACAGGAAGGACGGGGTCAGATGGAAGGGCAGATATGTCTGGGGAGAACGTCGAACCATTTACGAATGCTCAAAAAGCCATTTAAAATGATTTACGTATCGAGTCGTGTGCATCTCTGTGGTGGCTGTATAAAGCGGGACTTAGGCGGTAAGGCGGACAACGATTCTAGTTCGGCAGTTAATTACAATCGGTGCAAAACTTCCTCCTTCTCCACCCGAATCGTGAATTAATAAAGTGCCAGTCAGTGGAAGATTTATGACGCAAACATCGGAAATCGAGACAAACTGTTTTGAGTGCGAACATTTTTGTCAATGATTTAGTGTTTCCCTCTGGACTCTATTAAACCTTTTGTATTTTTCTTCATCGAAAACAAGCTGAATTCTTGCTAAAGAGTTTAAACAAAAATTAAAGGCGGACGGACAGTCGGACAGACGGACATGGCTAGATCGACTCTCCTAGAGATGCTGATCAAGAATATATATACTTTATAAAGTAATGACTCCTTCACGGCGTTAAATACTTCGACTGAAATTGTAATATCCTCTGCAAATGTACCAGTTTTAATTCCATAACTTTTCTTGCCAACATCCGATTTCAAAATGGGGCTTCAGTCTCTAAAACTCTGCGTTTAAAAGTTGGTTTGTAATTTCGGGTCGATTTTTTGTCATTTTTATGATGTAACCCCTTTCTCAATATCCGAAAAAAAAGCGTCTTTGCAGAAAAGTGTCTGATGTAGTTTAAGCTCGGTTCAGAAACAATATGTCTTTACCAATATAAAACTATTAAAATAATAAGATTCCAAATACGTGATAAAATTGCATTTCCCTGTTTAAAAGGGTTAAGCTAAGAGTATTGAACAAGAGCCATTTTAAAAACGGATTTCAAGGGTTCCTTTTGACTCTATAACTATAGAAGAAAAGCTAAGAGTTAAAACTCTTGAAATTCCCTGTTTAAGTATATAGAAAATGGCGTGAAACTGGACTTGAACTGGGCGGAGTGGCAGGAAGCGAAATGCACTTGAGCTAATGCCTTCTTCCTTGACTACACTAAACGCCGGAGTGTGCGGCCCATTGTTGAGGGCTGCCATACAATTTGACTTCCTTATCGCACGCTTTCAAGTGCCAATACAACAGCCGGCTCCAATGAGAGCTTCAATTTCGTGCCGCTTCCTCTGGCCCAGCAGCCATTGGGTCCTTCTCCTTCGGATCCCCGGGATCCTACGGCTCCTTTTTCGCCGACAATGAGTTGTGCTCGAAGCGGAGCTCAATGACGGCGACGCATCGTTGACATCAACGGCGCATTTGATTTATCAAAAGCTAAGAAAAGAATAAAGCGGAAAGCTGGCGAAAGTGGCAACGGCAAAAGCGCAAATCACTTCCGTGTGAAAGGGCCAACAAAAAGTGTGAGTGCGATCAGGTTTCCGTTCGAGGGCCACCTAAACCTAACCAGCAGACACTGAGGCAACGCTGAGGGCATGTTTATGACTCGGAATTTATTGCAATTGATATCGCTGCGTGCAGTGGGAAGTGGTTGTTCCTTTGATCAGGTAATTTCAATGGCGTAGGCATTTGCTTTTGGGGTAGACAAAATCTAAAATCATTTAAGTAAAGTATTACCATAAAAATCTTTGAACATTCTAATGACTGAACATTGATAAAATAAAAATAAATAATGTAATAATATAAATAAGCTTATCAAATTTTTGTATTTTTTATTTAAGGCTAGTAATATAATTAAATCATTTTTAAAGTTGAACTACAACTTAACAATATTGTATAATTAAGACTTTATTCTGAAATCTTATATCAATAAAACGTTTCATTGAGTTAAGCATATTCAAACTAATAATTATAAATTTTAATATATGTTAATATTCATTTTTCCACCCTTGTGGCAAGCACTGTAGCAAGAGCGTTTGCCAATAAGACGACTTCGTTTTCCTATTTTGCATGCTCATCCAAAAACCGAAAATAAATACGAAGAAGAAATATCGAGCAAAAAGTCTGCCACAAGAAATTTGCTCAACACTCACGTCTTCACGGTTGCTTTGCCATAGTTTTTGCTCTTTTTGCCGACCAATTTTGTATTTGATTCTTTTTTTGTTTACTTTGCTTATTTTTGTTGTTGTCTGGCGCAGGCAGCGATGCAAGAACAACATCACATAAATCTTCATAAGCAAGTTTGAGCAGAGCGAGAGAACCACAGTCTTTCGGCTGGCTTGGTTAGTTTACCTAGTTTACCTTTACCTTTACCTGAGCACAGCCATTTGGTTTTGGCCTCCCCCTTTAACCCACCCACAGCCTTCCAGTGTTAGTGCTAATTTTTTGCACGCCCTCGTCTGTAAATAAAACAGTTTGCAAATGGCACACCCTCAAAGAAGATATCCCATCCACAACCAAACACAATAGGCGCCATAATTCAACATAAAATATAACGCACAGACCTGAGATTCTGCAGAAGGGGAAGCCAACTGCTCTGCAGTTTGGCAAGTGGCTGGGAAATGTTCTTTTAGTTTGGCTCACATTTGGAAAGCTTCGGGAACTTAGCTGAAAACCAAAGATACAAAACCAAGTGCAACGATATTTGGGTTCAAAAAACTAAAGCGTACAATTATGAAACCAAAAATAAAATCTTTACAAATGAGAAAATGAGCTTAATTTGAGGCGATTAAAAAGCTAGGCCTAAGTTCCTAATTGAAATTTTAAATTTAAGTTATAATTACTTTTAAAACCAATTGACTAATTGTATTTATCATACATTACATTTGCCTTGTAATTGTTTATTTGCTCAACTTAAAATTCTTTATGTAATTGGCAATATGTGTTTATTCCATTTACTTTCTTTGTTTGAAACAAGGGGTATATTTTTAAAGTATAAACAAGAATTACATACATCGGAGTAAATGCTTTTGTAAATATATAAATAGCCACCCAATGCGTTTCTAATTCAAAGTGAACAAAGGACATGACGTTTCTATAAGAATAAAAAACACTACAAAATGTTCTATCAGCAAGGCAATGAACGAAAAAAAGGGAAAAACTTTTCTTATTTCGGATGAAAAATGCAAAACTTTTTTAATATGCAGAAAGTTAAATTTCATTTAAATCAAGACTGCTGCAGACGCCTGATGCAATGTTCTGTCTGTTATTCGAGCTGATACTGAAGGCTTTGAGGTTTTTTTTTTTTGACGCATTTCCAAATTGAACATTTTATAAAAAAAATATAGTTAAGGTTAAGGGCTTGATTGCAGTCACAACTAAACGTAATCGTCTTTATTTATCATGTTTTACTGAAACTATTCTACTACCCTGGTAGGCATCGTTATCATGTGTTAATGAAACTAACAGAAAACGAAATTCGTATCACTAGCTTTTTAATTTGTCTTCATTTCGAAAGTATGTGCAAAAGTGCAATTAATTTGCAGTACATTTGGCTAGCCAATTTCTGTAGGCAAACAACAAACAGTGAGCCCAAATTTCAGTGCGTACTGTTTGCCACAATTTTCAACCACAACCGCTTAAAATTCCTTTGCAGTTCGCTGCCTCCCATCGCTGTACTTCCCACTCCCTGAATTTTCTAGCTGGGTGTATCGCGTATCCGCCCAGTATGCCGTTGGAATTCATTTATGGTAACTGGTTCGCTTCCGGATGCAAAACAAACAATTCGCTTATGGAGCAATAATTGACGTACAAAATTAGTTTAGTGCCCTTACATCATTCACATAGCTTGAAAATGGGAAGAATTGGAATTTAAAACTTTTTTTTTTGTAGTTTTTAATTTGAATGTCATCGGATTCCAACTCAATCCGATGTCCAGTGCAAAGTGGCAGGAAAAATCATATCAAAGTGCTG